TGAGGGCCAATGGGGACCGGCAGTAGTGCTAAGTATTTTATTCAATAGTAATAATTAATAAAAATAAATTTCCACGTTTCCCTTGCTTATGTAGTGCCAGGCACTGTTAGAAACTTTGAATAATAATGAAAGTACTATTTATTCTCATTATAAACATGTTTATGGATGAATGATGTGTGCTAGGCACTATGACATGTGGTAAGCAATGAATATAAATAGCTACCAATTACTGCTTATTTTGTGCCACTCTGCTGAACGCTTTCGATAAGAACTAAAATAAAAGCTACGCTACATTACACGTTTGCTATGTAACGAGCCCTGTGCTGAATCCTTCACTAACAGATGCAACACATGTTTAGAGAAATACAATGATCATAAAAGTAGACTTGGTTCTTACCCTCTCACTAGACCCTATGGGAGACAGCTTTTGAATAGATTATCAACAAATAAGTCACGTGATTAAAAGTTACTGGGAACCCAGATCTGCTTGGCTGCAAAAGTGAACACTACAGCATTAGTCCATTTAAATTTTATTCCATCATATGCTATTGACCACATAAAATGCGTGTTCTTAATAGTCTCCTATACATACTAGATGAAACGAACACGAAATAGCTAACAATGTTGATGCTACATGACAGGCATAGGGGTGTTCTTTGTACTGCTCTTTCCACTTCTCTGTATACTTGAAATTTTTCATAATAAAAATGTGTCTGAAGATAATCTTTGTCTTTTAACTACGTCATTTGGTCCATTTACGCTTATTATATTTATTGATATATCTGGATTTATTTCTGTCTTATTTTGTGCTATTTGTCATGCCTGTTTTTTTTTTCTATTCCTTTCTTGCTTTTATAGGGCTTATTTTTTTTTCTCATTCCATTTTCTTTTTTCTTACACTATTTCTGCTGTTTTAGTGTGATTGCCCTAGAAATTTTGACATGGGTACTTAAAAATTCTAATTTTTAAAATATCTTTGCTCCCTTAACATATAAGGACTTTGAGATACTTTAATCACCCATCCCCTCAATTATATGCTTTAATTGTAGTACATTTTAAGTTTGATCTTTCCCTTTTTTGCCCCATGAGTCATTATTAAATTGTTTTAGATAGTCGATGTTAGTTTAGACTCAAACGCACGATTACCAATTTCTTTGCTCATCCTGTTGCATCTCAGAACTTAAAGCTAAGATCACTTTCCTTGTCCCCAAAGTACATCCTTTAAATTTTTTTTCAGTGAGGGTCTGTTGAAACAATTCGAGCAACAACAATAAATAACATAGTATTAGATTACAACCCAAAGTAGAAAATAAATGATTGAATAAATAGACTAGAAAAGACAGAATTCCAAATAATCCATGTTAGCTATTCCTCCCACAAAGAGGTGGTACATAACTCCCCACTCCTTAAGTGAGGGTGATGCTTAGTGACTCTTCCAAAGAGTACAATCGAAAACAATTACTGAATAGTTTTCTCCCTCTTGGATCTCTACTTCTATCGGAAAGTAGGAAAACAGCAACTTTATAAGGAGAGCCCTGGCAAACATCACCTCAGCCAGGTGATCACATGTCGTGTGAGAATGGATAGACCTTGCTGTGATGTGATGAGGGGGGCACTTCACCTCTGTGGTCTGTGCCCCCTAAAGCTTGCAATCCCAGTCTAATTATAAGAAAAACATCTGGTGGGGGGGGAGGGGAAGGACATCCTACAAAATACTTGAGCACTACTCCTCAAACTGTCAAGGTCATCAAAAACAAGGGGAAAACCAAGGAAAATCTGGACTTTATAAGATATGGACTTTAGTTAGAAATAGCATATTGATATACGAATAGTGATTCCTGAGCTGTGACAAGCATACTAAGGAGACGTTACCAGTATGGGAAACTGGCTGCCGGGCACACAGAAACTCTCTTTACCATTTTTGCAACTTTTCTGTAACTCCCAAGCCATTCTCAATTAAAAGCTTATAAAACATGTTTTTATTTGATCTTTGACCTCCTATATTGAAGTTTTCTGTAGTTCACACTGTGACGTTGATCCCTGGCCCTCGAACCGTTGGCTAACCAGAGTGCGTGGGGCCGAACCACAGCGAGGGGATGGATGGCTTTGTCGGTGAGTGTCGTGTCTCCCGTTTCCCGCTTTGGAAATGCCGCCGCCCCTGGCTGTCGAAATCCCACCCATCCTTCGTGGCCTTAGTCGCTCACTCATTCTCTCTTTCACTCACGTCCTCATCCGAGCAGCATTTCCTCAGAACCCACGGCGTGAGCACCCCGCAGTGGGTGCGTTTAGCCTGGGCTACAAAGGACCTCACTTGCTAGTGAGCGGAATCAAAAAACTCTCCCAAATAATTACAATCTGTGATAAATACTAAAATAGATGAGAAGAAAGCTATGAAGAGACAGTGAACTTTACTCTGGAGGCTCAGAGAAAACTTAAAAACTAAGAAGGTGTCAGAGAATAGTGTTAGAAAAATAGTAAGAAAGATCTTGCCACGTAGAAAACAGAAAGAAGCGTTCTCCAAGTGGAGAAATAGCATATGCAAAGGTCCTGGGGCACATGGCCTGCCAGAGTTTCTCAAAGTCACTTAGTTCTTGCCCTGTATCGGGCAGTACATTAGCATATGTATCAGTTTCCTATGGTGCTGTAACAAATAACCAAAAAATTGTGGCTTCAAATAAATTTATTATCTTACAGTTCTGGGAGTTGGGTCTGAAGTTGGTTCTTATGAAGTTAAGATCCATCTGCATTCCACCTGGAGGCTCCTTGCCCTTTCCGGCTTCTGGGGATTTCTCTCATGCCTTGACTCATGGCACCTTCCTCCGCCTTCAAAGCCAGCAGGGGAGTGTCGTGACTCTTCCCTTGACCTCTCCCTCCATCGCACTGAGTAAGTGCCTGTGGGTCAGATACCGTGCTAAGTGCTTTGTTCGTCACTTACTTAATCCTCACAACGTCAAGATGGATCATTTAGTCCCACTTTACAGATGAGGGGACCGAGGCGCTGAGAAGTGTGGCCAGCAAGGGCTGGGGGATGAAGGCTCTGGAGCCTAGACGGTATCCTTAGCTATCTCTGCCTATCCCGATGTTTGCACACAGAGAAATGACGTGGCTAAATGTATTTTGTTTAATTCTTTTTCGCTTCTTTTGTTTGCTTGTTTTATTTTCATTAAAAAAATTGTAAACGTGTCGTTTTTAAACAAACTCTTTATTTTGCAATCATTTGAGATTTACGGAGAAGTGGCAAAGGCTGCGCAGAGTTCCCTCTATCCGCTCCTGCGTTTTCCCTGGTGGCATCACATGACTTCCTTTTACATGGCCCCGCTAGCAGCACTGTGACAGTGTGACTGACTAAACTCCAGACCGTTTCGGATGTCACTGGTTTTTCCACGAATGTCCTTTTCCTGTTCCAGAACCCGGTCCAGGGCACCGAACTGCACTTAGCATATTTATGTTTCACAGTGATTCTCGGGAAGTGGACTGGAGGATGGGCTGACAGCAACCGAGCCACCGCTGACCAAGCGCCCCGTGCCAGGCGCTCCTGTGAGAGCTTCGTGTGAGTGACTCATACATTCTCCCGCCAACGAGGTGACAACGTTGTTTTCTCTGGCTTGTAGATGAGGAAACAAGGCCCGGGGAGGTTTAGAAACTTGCCCAAGAGAAGTGAGAAACTAGAGATGGAGAATGAGGACTTGGTGACAGAGACCACGGGGGAGGGGAGGGGCCCGTTTCTCAGAAGC